AAACCCCTCGAAGGACAAACGAGCGCGATCGAGAGCGATATACCGTTGAGACAAACGGCGCACGGAATTCCTCGAATAAAAAGAAAAAAAACATACGAAAAAAAAACAAAAAGAGAGAAAGAGAGAAAGAGAGAGAAAGAGAGAGAGGAAACAAGGAACATTACGATCGATATCGTGCCGCGAATGACGAGATTTGCGCGACGGGCGAACTTAATCAACGAACGAAGCAATACGTTATCGCACTGATTTGTCGTTGAGTCGTAACGCGAACTCCGAATAACTCCATCCTGCATTTACAGCGATCTTTAGTTGCCCTCAGAGAAACGAGCGATTTACGTCATCATCGTGCCGTACGTAAAAAGACACCCTCGAACATGTAACGACGCTGAATCACGGGACACGCCGAGAGACGTAAGAAGGACTGAAGAAAATATTTCATTTTTTATCGATATACAGCACTGAAAACAAACAAAAAAAAAATAGAGAGAGAGAGAGAAAAAGACGCCGATGATGATTTCAGAGATGACTTTCACGCGCATGAAAGTTCCTTCCCTTCTTGAGCGCGATAACTTTTTTATCAGAAGCTACATTCCTCTCTGTGTCGCAGCTACACTTTCCCCCTCCCCTCTTGCGATCTTTTGAATCATTGTGTCGACGCCCTCGCACGCAAACATCAACACGTCCCCGAGTTATCCAGTTTTGATACGTATTTGTGCCATAATCTCGACATCGTCGCGGCGTATCGCCCAGAGTTACGATTATCTACGCCGCGCACACGCGCCGCTGTGCACGCGTCCACCACTCGCAACGATACGTTCAATCTATTGCAATGTGTCACGCATAGTGCGACATAAGAATCGCTTAAGAAGTTAAATCAATAATGCGCGTAAGCGCCAACATCGTATCGACTGGAGTTCCACAAGTCAGAGTTAGGACATCGTCCGTAGGGAGGAAGTGACTGAGCGATTGAGAGAGAAACTGCAAGAAACTGTCCTTCGTCATTTCAGTCTTAAAGCCTCTCTCTCTCGCTCCTGCTAGAGTTTCTCTCTCACTCCCGTCATCCCTAAAAATGATGGACAGGATGCAGACCAATCAGGAGTCATCATGCTTTGTCCTCCGACTCGAGGAACTCCGGTATTGATCTCTAAGATACAGAACGTAGATCCCCAAATTCTCGTGCAATCGCAAATCATTTCGAATCTTATCTTTCTTTTTAATCGTCTCGTGGAAAACGAGTGTGACATCTCTTCCACATTCAGTTTAATTACATTTAATTACATTTAATTTACAGCAGTGTCGGCCATTAATCGATTAAAATTGTAGTCGACTAAAATAATCGGAGAGTCAATAAACAAAATTAATTGATCATATATGTAATCACGAGTAATTCAATCAACTGATAGAATTGATTATTCATCAAGCTCTGACTTAGTTCATTATACACTGATTAATAATAATTTTATAAGTTAGTTAAATTATTCGTGATTATACACGTGACGATTGAATAATTTTGATTGTTAATTTGCCGGTTATTTAGTCAACTGAAATTTTTATCGATCCAAATAACCGGCACTGATTCACAGTAATGAATTTCAGTTCACTTAGTATCGTTGAGCGTAAGTACCTGATTTAATAGACAGCGCGAGTCCAAACCGTTCTACCCTCATTAATGAACGTATAGCGCGCTGCTAGTCTTTTTAATCACATCCAAAATAATTTAATCTTATCCTTAGCGGAATCCTCATATATAGGCTTGGTTTATATCGTACACTTGATACATGATCGTCTACTAAATAGTAACTTTCTATTAGATAATCTTAATATTCACGATATATATAAACAATAGTATATTAAGCTGATATAATACTCATCAACAAAATGTATTGTAATGATTGAATGCATCACCGTTGATATACATTGTCGATATTAAGACTATCTAATAGATACGCGTATTTAGTACGCGTATCAAGTGCACGATGTAAACCAAGCCAATGTTTCAAGAAGATTCTTCTAAAATCAAAAGAAAAAATATTCTAAGCATAATATACTTAAAATTACAGAAACTTCGTCTTTTATTTACAGCACAATTCTTAATAGAAATTTCTTGCGGTAAGAGAAGCAATTCTGCTTCTAATAAATATATTCTTCTCGATTCAAAAGAAAAAAGAAAGTTAGAATACTGCCTAGTAGATTTCCAATTAATAGTTAGATTTATCACCTTATTATATAGAAAAGAAATTTTTTCAATAGTTTCCGCTTAGAGTAAAAGGAAACAGCGTCCTAAAACTATACTGAGAAAGAGAATACTTGAAAATTTATTATTCTTTTGTGAGATATAAAGTTTATATTTACAAAAATAAACGTTATGTTTGGCAGAAATCTTCATTTCAAAAACTTTATATTCCATAAATAAATTTTCGACCATTTTTCTCAGTGTAGAGTTGTTTTGTTGGGTATTGGAGTGCGTTTCTTTTGATTTTAGAAGAATTTACTTGAAGCCATGACACAAGAGAATTCTAAGCAGGATAAAATTATATGTTTTTAGATGTACACTTCTGTAGTCATATTATATATTCACGAAAAGTTCTGACGAGAATATACATCATGATTACAATACACACCCGTGCGTCGTTGTAGCGTGTGAAAAGAAAGAAAGTGAGAGATAAAGGGACAGAGTGAGAGAGAAAGAAAGAAGGAGAGAGAGAAGAAAAGAACCATTATACGTCCTTTCAGGAGAGAGCGAATAGACGTTAGATGAACGCGAAGCGCGCGTTTATTAATTTTCGTGCGAGAAGGTCTCGACACCTGACAGTCCTACAAGTGTCGTGCGGTACGTTGCACTTGATCGTCGCGACTCGAGCGTTTCGAACAATCGTCGGAAGTCGCGAGCATAAACCGGAGAATCACACTTACGGTAGAACGACGGTGCAGTAGTTACCCGTTCGCGTATTAATAGTCTTCGTTCGACGTGGTCCGTCCGTGATGCGATCGCGTATGCGTCGGGTTCCGGAGGAAAAGGCGAGCGACTGCGGATAAAACGAGAACCGAAAGAGAGAAAGAAAGAGAGAGAGAGAAGGACGATCTCGATCGTCATGGAGAAGACGCCGCAGGCCGTTCAGGCAGCCGCCAGTCGACGCCGACGTCGATTTATTATTCGTGGATAACTTATAGTTGTTCTTGTGCTCTATCTACATTGCGACCGCGCGGTTACGATTGTAGAGAAGGTCGCGCGAAGGAGAAGTCGCCACAAGTCGCGGGAGTGAGTCACCGGTTGTCAACAGGGCGATCATATCGGTGCGATGGGACAACGGGGAGCGGTGTTTAGAATTTCGGACGAGACGGCAAGTGCCGGAGAGGCCGAGGGCGGCAGCACGCGAAGGACGGCGACGCAAAACTGCCCCGTCGTGTAGGCCGCCTCGGACTCACTTCATCAGAGATTGCGCTTAGACACGACAGGATATACATGCGAGATATCCGTGTGAACGTGTGACACTGTGGATTACGTCGTAAAGCGATCGCTATCCGTTGCGTCCCACGAGTACGCAAGGTACGTACGTAATACACGTCGCCGCTCGCTGCTGCGAGAACGCAAAGAGAACGGCGCGGCGAGAGTCCGTCGACGGAAAAAAGGGATCGATCACGACGATGATGATGATGATAATGATGATAATAATGATGAAGATGAGGATGATGATGATGGAGGAAAAAGAGAATGTTCGGATTGTGCGACCACGCCAAAAAGATAAAAACAGTCTCTCACCTACGTCACACTACCTTAGGTACCTCGTGCAATTTACACGTCGCTAGAGAAAGATATGATATACGACACATTATTTACACTGTATTGCTTCCACAATGGATTATTATGGTACTTTTGATTCAACTTAACATTGCGATATCTCACGGAAACAGAATGATAATTAACGTTAGATCCTCGTAATTGTCACAAGTTACCACTTCGTACGAACGCAATAGTGTAACTACTATCCAGCGTGTCCTCCTGAGGAGACGCCGGAGAGGCATTATAATAATATTTTTGTTTTTAAATTTACACATTGGTTCTCTTAATCTCTAGATACGTCCCGTCCCCTTTCTTCCTAAAGCGCATCTTTTCTCCTCCACTTTCCTCATCGAAGGAGAGATAGCCGCGTCTCCTTTTGTCGTTGTGCAAATATATCTCGCGACGCAATCACTTGTTTCTTTTGACCTAAGTGTCACTCTTAAGAACAGTATATACACAGTAAAAAGTGAAATGTCGATTTTGTATTCTAGAGTCCATTCCGAATTTTAAGGCAAGATAACTCATTCGTTGTGTCGCTTGTATGATACACTAAGCACGATTAGAATAATATTTCGTGTATGTTAATGTGTTAGATAATGTGTTAGATAAGTGAAGAGAATCGCGATAAAATATACTAACTTTTATGTTAACCCTAAATTGTCATACTGAGTCAAAATGACTTAAACATTGACTTTGGCGTAAGATATCTTTTAAGTGCGCTTAAAATGTTACTGCTAGTGCCATCTAGTAGTAATTTCAGATCTCCTCTTCATTTTTTTAATTTTTTTAAGAATTTTTTTCAACACACACACACGATGCTACTTCAAATATTAATTTTTTATAATGAAAATATATACTTCAATGTTTGAAGTTTATTTCACAATTTTTTAAATATAATTAATAGTCTTTAAACAACAGCTTATTGATAATTAGCTTAGATCAAATTGACTCAATGTTACACATTCGAAAAAAGATGTGACAACCAAGGATTAATATTGTACGAACAAAAGTATTCCATCAACAGTTTTCATAAGCTACTGTAACTACTCTTTTCCTTATATTTTTTATTATTTTTTATGTTACTTTTACATCGAATCAAAACAATAAGCGTAAATATAAGAAGAATACCAGTTAATTAACATTTACAATTTATCAATAGGTCAAATATAAAGAATGAGTTATTTTTATTTCAAATTTAGAGTGCACTTTCTGGGACATGAAACTGGGGCATCTTATTTCTTACTGTGTACATTCACAAAAGTTACTAGATAATCGTCATTACGCGATTGGTAACATCCAGGAGCGAAATTTTGCAGATCTACGATTTTTCAATTGGATTTTTTTTTCGGATAACTTATAGCAACAAAAGGGATTCTTGCAAAAAATAGGCGAATTAAAAGGTGCCGACGAGAGAGAGACTATGCGTATGCGTGTACTATTTATGAAATTACGTACTTGCAAAATCGAGCGTAATCGAATCTCTTAATTAGACTGAAGATCAATCAAAGTGAATATCATTTTCTTCTACGTTCCGCGCAATGAATTTAGGCATAATCGCTGTTATCGACTGCGAAGATTAGGAATCCAATTTTGCAAGAGTAAAGACCTGTCAGTACCTTTAAATTCGACTGCTTCGTGCAAGATTCATATCACGCATACAACGAGACTTAACATCAACGTAGACACAGTCCTAAAACTAATCCCTTCAGCAGTTTGGCACGAACGGTACCGGCAAACACGAATCCCCCTCTCTCCTTAACGATGTCTACTAGACGTAATTAGACAAAACTCGCCACCTTAAGGATAATATACGCACAGCGTGCGCCTCACTCTCACGTGCAATTCACGTTGGTCCCCAAATAAGCATCGCCACCATTCACCACCACCTGCCAAGTCAAGGTCAGTCTCTGCACACGCTAAGTAATACCTCAGATAACAAGGGATGTAATCCAGTAATGCTCATCAAGTGTTCAGTGAGTGCTACTAGATGCGCCCTCACTATATACGTCGTTCTCTGCCCAAGTAGAAAGAGCTCTTTCTAATCAGTGACTAGCCAGGAATTCTGGTTACTGCCTAGTTTCTGATTACTGAGAGTTTGGGTAACGCTTGTCTTGTCAATAACTGGACAGTAAAACTAGTCAATTTTTAATCAGTTTCTAATAAGTTTTTAACCAATTTCTAACCAAACTTTTTTTCCTACAAAATTTTATCAAACAGTTTTAATCGTTCTCTATATTTAAAAATATATATTATTATTCACAATGTGTATAATAATATAATGTACTATAATTCACATTGTAAATAATAATATAATGTTAAAAATAATGTAAAACTCGTATTTATAAATAGTTTTCTCACGTGAAAATTTATTCATTACGGAGATAATTTTATGTTTAATTACCATTTTTTCTTACGTAACTTTTAGCCGGTATTTCCCGAGTTTTCATTAGACAGAAAAACTATCCAGCATTTACTTATAATTTCTGGTCAATAACCGGTCAAAAAACTGACCAATATTTCCTGTTCAGTTTCTAAACAGTTAACTCGTAACAGGTACCATGCCTTTTTAGTCAAACTATAGATACAATGGGGTCCGGCGGACCTCAATAAATTTTTGCCATTTTTAACATAATAATAAAAGGTAGAAAGAAAAATGCTCTATAGTTCGAAAATAATACTTTACGAATATTATATTACAACTAGACATATATAATAACAGTCTCAGTTTTTCAGTAATCTAAAAAAAAACGTTAACTGATTATAAAATGAACACAATGTGGACAGTGTTGAAATAAAATACACTGAAAGACAAATAATCGGGAAAAGAAAAAAATTTATGTTTTAATCTAAGTCTACAAATTATAGATTATATAAGAAATATAAACAAGTACTGTTAAATTAAATACAATATTAAAATCTTAGAGAGTTTTTAGATGCAATCGTTACAGATAGTGCTTGCACATTTGGTGCATACTGGTTCATTGCATCTAACATATACTTCTTTGAACTTCATATCTTTACTTCTAGAACATTTATTACATCTTACTCTGGATGGCAAAATAATTTTAGATCTTTCAGTTTCTTCAATTTTTAAAATAGATAAAATTATTAAACGCAATGGCTTATGAATATATTGAGTTGTAAGACGTCTCTTAAGTTCAGGTTCTACTAACTGAAAGGCAAGAGCTTTTACTTTTTTGCGTGAAGAATGAGTCATATTGAGCTGAAGATTAAGAAAATTATTTTCATAAAAGTAACGTTAACGGTACAATGGGGTTATTGTGACCCCAGACGAAAAATAAATGCATATAATTCACAGCTATTTACAAATAACTCGATGATCTTTTCTTCTGTCATACTGAAAACTGTTACTCGAAAGGTATTGAAGATATTAGCGCTATACAATGGATAGTTTAGGAATTATCATGAAAATAAAATTAGTTGGGGACCTGAGACCCCATGGTACCTGTTACGGGTTAAGCCTGATCTCTACAATGTGCTATTTGCTTCTTATTTTTTTATTCTTTTTCTGACTAAAGGCTCAAGGTTAATAAATGGTAATCAGAAAGAGATAAAGAGAAAGAAACAGAAAGCAAAAAGTACATTGCAAAGAAATCAAGCTTTACTTTAATAGAGCCCAGCCAGTAAAAACTGGCCAGTTTCTAGTTGGCGAGCAGTTTTTCCTGGAGATGTTTCTACTTGGGTGTATTCCGCAATTGACCACAATCGAAGTGAATTGTCACCGCGCTTCCAGACCCAGACACCGGTGGAGGATAATCGCCAGCTGCAGGGCGACTCGAAGGCCAACGATATCGAGATACCACAGCCCCAACCGCCACCCTCCACGCCAACCCGCGCCCGCCACGTCACTTCACCCTCGTCCGTTGTGACACCCCGCGCGGTCCGAAACGGATTGGCCAAATCTCCGGACGCCACGACGCCCAGGAGGCAACTCGCGCCGGAGGGTCTGACCGTTGTGGACGGACGCGCGTCTAAAACACCCTCGCCGGATGCGACGGAGGGTGGAGGCGTTGCGAAGAGCCGCTCACCGAGGTCACCGACCTCGCCGCGTCCGCCGAGCAATCTGCGCATTAAATCCGCCGGCGAGAGATCCTCACCTCGGATGTCTCCTGGAACTCCGACTAAAGCATCTCCCGGCACACCGAAGAAAGCATCTCCCGGCACACCGAGGAAAGCATCCCCCAAAGAGCTGCGTCTTCCGAAGCTCGCGTCGTCGCCGACGCCGCAGGAAGCAAGTCCGGCGACCGAGAACCACTCGAAAATCATTTTACCTAAACTAATCGAACCGCAAGCCGCCCGGATCGCGTACTGAAGCAGTCCGCAATCCGCAAACGAGCTTTGTAGCGCTTAGCACGTAGGCGCTTTCAAATGCACGCACTTTCTCTCACATTCGTGACTTCTTCGACCAGTTTGCAGTCGATTGTCCCTTAGTGAAAGTTTGTTTCAACATCTGTCGTCGCAATCTGTCGTCAACATACACGATTTTAGATACCTTCATAAAGGGTGTCGGTCGTAAAGATCATTTTACAATTATGTAAGCGTGGTCGTAAGTGGTTGCAACTGATTACAATAACTAATCAGAATAAAGTAATCAGTGAATAAAATACTTTGGTTGGCTTTTGCGTTCACGACCACGCTTACATAATTGTAGAATGGCTTTAACGATAACGGTAACGTATCCATTACACTGAGAAAAAAGAACATCTAGAAATTAATAAATATTTATTTGACATATACAGCAATATTTACTTGAATTTGAATTTTTTTATTTAAATAGAATAAATAATTACTTTAATTAAAGAAACTTAAGATTTTCTTAAAGTTTCAAGAAAATGTATATTTGTATTTAATGTATATTTTCTTATTTGAAAAATATTTTATATTAGTATAAATAAATATACACTATTGTATGTAATGCTCGTCAAATATATATAAATATTTATTATTTCTTAGATATTTTTTTATCTCAGTATACATTTTTACCGCTTATAATAATTGGCTGAAAAAAATTCTAGATGCAATCAGTTTCTAAATGCCAATAAAATGCAACAACAAAAATTTCGGAAACATTTTTTTTTCGTAAAAAAATCAAGATCCTTTATTAAATGGAACTTTTTTTCATTTGTAGCAAAGAGAATAAAAAATGATTCAATAATTAAGATAATTCATAATGTTATCTTTGAGCAATTTCATAGCAAAAAAGAACACAGCAAAATTACATTTCGAACATATTCTGAGCACCCAACATTATTCATTATATTGTATGAAAAACATTTTATCTTTCATCTATATTTTTATTATTAAATGTTAGTAAAAATAATATTATGAGAGAATTATCATTGAGTTTGTTTTGACTTTTTTTATAATACTACAGAAAAAAAGATATATAATTCTACTTAAAAAAGTAAGAAGAACTTTGATTTTTTTCACGAAAAAGATGTTTTCGGAATTTATATTATTACATTTTATTATCGTTTAAAAACGATTAATTGCATCTAGAATTTTCCCGTCCCATCATTTTAACTAATAAAAAATAATGGATATTGTTACGTTGAACACCCTCTATGTAAAGTCTCCAATTAAAATATAGTTTACTTGAGATCAGGTAAAGAACAAGATATTGATATCGTATACTTTTTGCACTTTTGTATACTTCGATTTGCGAACATCGATAATTTTTCGATATTTTATACGTGAAGAAACTCGATAAACATTTTTATTAAGGGAAAATTTACTCCAAACTAACTCAAGAACTCGCATATGAAAGGAAATGCGAGGCATGCTTCATCTGCGTAAAACCCCTTGTATAGTCAGCGACTGAAGAGTAGCAACATGTTTCTTTTCGATATGTTTTGAAACAGACGTATAATCAAATGATCTCCGTCCATTTTAAAGCTCGTCGAATTGAGAAATGTCACTACCTTTTTGACACCGACCATACATCTCATAAAATAAACGCAAAATTAATAGTAACTAAGAAAGAATGGTAGAAAGATCATAACAAATCTCACATGCCATGGTAGATGTCTTCTTTTTATTAACATGCATAGTTCCGAGTTGAGCAATGATCAACTTATGAATCGATACTTTTTTTTGTTGACGGATCAATTACCTTCTAAATATTTTTTCCAAGTCTGATTAATTCCTGTGTTGATAATTTTTTTCATTTGTCTCCATTTTTTAACAGTACAATTCATCGTCAAATTAAAAAGAACATTATTTCTTCTTACTAGAGAAAAAAGTCAAATCTTTGTTTAATCGCATATTTCTAATTTCAAGTAAAAATAAGCTCTTCTATTATGGAAATAATCTCCCTGTCGCAAACAAAGAATAATTCGACTCGAAAGTAAACTGAAAATCCGAGACGAAGCGGAATAGGGGCTTGATCTTTTTTCGCAAGTCCTACTTTTCCAACTAAATCATGCAATTTCCAACCCCGTGTCTTCCTTTATATGGAAGATTAACTCTTAACGGGCGTCGGAAACAAATGTGCCCTTTGGCACATCAAAAATTGCACATAATGCTATTTGACAAATTATCAGCAATACTTCGATGTTATGAGTAGCTTCAGTGTTGTTTATTCCGTCCTTCATAGCAGTCTATGTAAAAAAGTTGATCAAAACTAGATTTTTTACAAGGCGTGTTTAACAACCCGCATTATTTAACACCCGAGAAGCATTTTCAAAAATAAATATAAGATATACAATAATATTTGAGACATGCTACCGTATAAATTTATATATAATAATATTTGAAATATGATAGACACGTACACGCATTCGTACGTAATAGCGTAATAACAAACGAATGGTAAATTGAAAGAAGATATGGAAGATGATATGAGAAGTGCAAATAACATACGCAAAATATATAGAAGTAAAAATATATATATGTATTTTTTTTAGATGTGTATATTTAGATAATACAACATTGTAGTATAAATGAACACACTTTTACTAGTCCAGTGGAGTTAGGTTTTCGGAAATATGTTACGTGAGAAATCGAGTTTTATATATAAACCTATAAAAAATATATATATATAAAAGTCGATCAGCCATAAATCTACGGTCAGTTTTTCTTTGGCAGTGGTGGTGGAACTAATTTAACTCCTTTGAAATAAGGATGAGTCAACCCTTTCTTCGCAGTTATCCTCTGATTAGGATCGTACGTAAGCAGTTTCTAGAAAAGATAATATCATAAACACGTGAATCCCGACGAGTACTGTAAACGAGTACACGCTCTTTTTTATCTTTTCTCCTCTCCACCTTTGTCCTTACCGAAAGTAAATCTTTGGCGTCTTCATCGAAGGACGGTATAACATTGCCTACTTCAGTTCCTTCCCACTTTGGGAATCGGGATGTGTAGTCAGGAAGCTGCGAAACTCCTGGCCAGATCGTTTCGTCCGGTGTGCCGAGTATACGGAATATCCTGAACAACTGATCTATCTCGGAGTCACCGGGGAACAGAGCTCTCCTGGTAGCCTATAAGAATAGTGCTAAGACATTATCATTGACAACAGATGGAGGCGCTCGGAGGAATGTTTTTAGCTCACAGAAATCTTGATATCTCATGAGTCTTATTCCGACCGATTCGCGTGACGATTTTTGTACGATTCACGTACCATTTCCGCGAAAATACAGCCAAGACTCCAGATATCCAACGCACAGGTGTACAGTTTGGTTCCTAGAAGTACTTCGGGCGCACGGTACCAAAGCGTTACGACCTCGTGTGTGTACGTGCGCACAGGAACGCCGATCATTCTGGCTAAACCGAAGTCAGCCAGTTTGATGTGACCCTCCCGATCTATCAGCAGGTTCTGCGGCTTCAGGTCTCTGTGCAATATACAACGAAGGTGACAAAAGGCAATCGCCTTCAGCAACTGATGGAGGTAACTCTGCAACAGTGAAGCGTCTCATCTTAGGACGCGCGTGTGCGTGCTATTGTCGCGTCGAACGCGCGAGTTGTAACCATGATCTAATACCTTCACGAGTGCCTCGTCTAGGCCTCCTTTAACGGAGTCGAGCAACTTTTTCAGATCCTGCTGCAGAAATTCGAATACAAGATACAGGTGCTTGTCGCCATCTACGACGTCGTATAATTGTATGATGTTCGGATGAGCGAGGTCTTTCAATAACGATATCTCTCGAATGGCGGTGGAAGGAACGCCTTCCCTTTCCCTGATTCAAAGCAACGTTATTATTTACAGGAAAATGCGCAGTCGTCAATGCGCTAAACAATATCTTCTCGTGCCCCACAGACTGGATTCATCTTCTTTTTCTCTTTTTTTCTAACATGATGGGGATGTTCCAAATTCGAGAAAAATTGTTCATCCTTACAAGTTTCTCACAACATATACACAAATAACATAATATTCAGAACATCGAAATTACATCAGTGAGGGACAAGTATATGCAAGCAACTCTGTTAATTCCTGTACATACATCCAAGAATGAATGTTACCTTTGATGAAAGAAAAAGAAAATTAGGAATTGCAATTGATTTTGATACGAATTACAGTAGATGTACATGAGAGTTCTTATTCTCGAAAATAAACCTAATAAATTCTTTCTTATCAAGAAACGAATAATTATACACAGTGTATGAAATAAAATAAAAATACCAAATCAAAAACCAGGCGAGCATGGCATAATGGGACAAGCTGAATAATGTGGTGCTACGAAAATTAGTGTAACGTGGCCCCCGCAGATTCAGCTGACCCCAATATGCGGGTTGTTAGCAGTGTGTTAGCAGTGTGCACAAGCAAAAGCCCAGCTGACATTGCAGTTCTGCAAACTGATAATTCTCAACATATAAATGTAAATGTATGAGGCCAAATTGATTTTGTAAAATCAGTCAAGGATATGTATCTTATCCAGATATTATTCAGACATCCAATTTATGAGAATATACATATTCTTAAAGATATAGAATCCCTTAGTCTTACTTAATTTAAGCATAATTTATAGTCCTTGGAAAAAGGGCACAGCGATAAATGATTTCAGATAAGCGAGTATGATTTTTCATTGGAATATTCCATGTATTCTTGTGCCTAATGGCAAGTTCCTCAATAAGTGTCTTTATATACATATTATTCATAAGCAGAGAATGTATAGATTAGATAACTTAGGAATGTTATTTATATATCAAGCATCAAGGAAAATTAATGGTAGCTGTGGAAATTCATTTTCCACGCTAGATTAATGAAAGCTTGATGATCATATGTTAAATGGGTCTGCATATAAATAAATCAAAGAACGCTGTAAAAATAAATCTGTACTTTCTTCTAAAAAGCAATTAGTTGAACTGAAGGAGTTAGTTGTATTATTATATTTATCATTATTAAGGATATAGAGGAAAAAATATTCTTTGTATGTAAGAGTATATGTTTGTATATTTATCATTAACTTATCTTCATCTTGATACATACTTTTCATGATATTATTGACAAAGAAATCAAGAATGCCATGTAGCAAACTCCTTGAAACACAAGGATGATCAACCAAACAAATGACAATTTTCTGTCGATACTCATTTACACCATTTCCTACATTCAAACACAGATTTATTGAGCTAAAGTGTCTAACAACCATTCAAATTATTCCATCAAGATATATCCTCCAGATTCTTATGGCTAAGAAACACCTAACTCAAACCATCAAATGGAAACAATGGTTATGTTTAGCAGAGAAAGCAGCTTTGCAACTATTGTAAAATTCGTAAATCCAATTAGTGTATATTCTTAGTTGAATCTAAGAGCATGTACTAATCAGATTGGCAAATCTTACAACAGTTGCAAAGCAACTTCTCTTGCTGATGCAGACAATTTCCACCTACATTCAGAATGATCCAGGTATGTCAAACAAGATAACGTCGAACATTAGGCATGATACACTGGCGAGTAACGAATAACATTTTTACAATGCGCGGTTGAAGATGTAAATTGGCGTGTATGAACTACAGGTTGGTACGTTTCTCATATGTGACTGGTATGCCTTTGCAAACATTATATCACGCATAAAATAAACGTTGGCACACGTTGTGATTCGCCCAACGCCAACGGCATGCCTAACGTCAAGAAAGCGCGCGCGAGATGACAGGTGTGAGAATGTCGCAAAGTTACATACGTCTCCAGGCGAATCTTCTTGAGTGCCACCAGCTTCCCAGTCAGCTTGTCCTTGGCCTTGTACACCACCCCGTAAGTTCCTTCCCCTATTTTTTCGATCTTCACGAAGTTATCCATAACCTCAACGCTACACTCGCTGTGAGTCCGTAGACGTTGTTTCTCGGCCGCCGCCGCCGCCGCCACCGTCGTCGTAGCGCCTTCCCTCCCCGGTTCCGTGGTCGACGCCGTCGTTGTGGCTGAATATCGTCGAGCACAAGAATAAACGCTACGTCGGCAAACAGCGTTACACCGCTAGTCGTCCTCGACGAGACCGTAACGCCGCGCTTGTTTATCAACACCGATAAACTACAATTTTCGGACCGCGGTGCGTCGTAGCCATAAGCCCATGTTAGACTACCGACTGCACAGGCCAACCCGACTGCCCAGGGGCTGGTATTCCGTTAGCGCGGTTCCGACAGTTGTCGGATCGGTAGGCGTCGTTGCGCAGTTTTTCCACAGTATAAAAAAAGCTGCGCAACGACGCCTACCGATTCGACAACTATCAGTACGCGGGAACGGAATAGTACTCCTGTGGCCGACCCGACTGCCGACTACCGACTCTCAATGGACCAATCACAGTGAGGCACCGACTGACTGAATCGGCCGACTCGCATTTAGACTTCAGTCCATTTTTCGAGTCGCCGATTCGAGTTGTAGCCAATCGTAAGCTTGTATTAAAAGTATATGTATTGTAATCTTTGAGTAGCGTACATAAATAATTTTTACGTTTTAGCATTGACCGAGTCGGCAGTCATAATCGGCAATCGAGTCGGCCTGTGCAGACTCGGTAGTCTGATACGTGCTTTAGACGTACATAGATAGACCGTACCTTACCGTAAGAAGCGGCATGTGGGCATGCGAAGGACAGAAATAGAGTTCTGGGGCAGAGTTCTGTTCTTGTCCCAAGTGGAAGTGGTAGGGATGAAACCGAGGAAGTGGTAGGGATGAAGCCGAGGAAGTGGTAGGGATGAACGAGGGGAATGCGCGTGTATAGAAAAGGAAGCACTTACACCATGAAGGAAAAAAGCTATCAAGCAGTAGTTCTATATCATGGACTAAGGAATAGGAGGACTAGCGGGGAAACACGTCCGCGGAGAAGGAGAGGCCGCCATTGGTTTCTCCTATCGCACACATAGGGTGCGTTCGGGGAGCACGCTACTAACGCTATCGCGTTCTTCTGTCTTTATTGTTCCTTAGATATACAACGAGGATAGAATGTCACGATACAACTTAATAGCGCTAATAGCGAGCTCCCCGAACGTACCTAGAGAATGCATACTAGCGTACATGTAAAATGAAAGATTGCGGTCCATTTGACTAATAAAGTTTAAAACGACATTTACAGTCGAATCTTACATTTATGATCGTCTCAAGTTCATTTTCAATTGCTATATGGGTTGTTTTATATATATACTCCCCAGTTCTTACTCACTGTCTCATATATCTTACTCGCTATGTAACCTATCAGACGCTCAAAATACCCATACAGTGAACGTGGGAACACAAATGTCTATACTAAGGTTGAATTTTTTAATTCATCGATGGATCTATCGATGAATTAAAAAACTCGCCCTAAACTATAGATTGCTAACAGGCCATCTAAAACCATATAACGTTTGCGTCCGATAGAGTTTCTGGTGCATGCGAGAAAATAGCCACTTCCATCACATATTTTCATTACGTTTAGTCATAAAATTCTTTTGTTAAAAATGAGCAGAGCAAATATTGTCCAATACTATCTATTTTTTTGTTACATTTTTTATGCAATAAGATGCTGGCATTTTTGGTTTTATGATAGTAATTTAATGGCCACGCTGACTCACATTGTACGTGTAAGTACTCACACAAGTGACACGTTACACACACAATGTCACATACACAGGACCGCCGCCATATTCTCGCATGCAACCGGAAACCTTACGCGACGCACATTCGAAGCCCTTATTAGCAATCTAGTTTAGTATAGGCCGGTATTCATAATCCGATCTTATATTTAAGATCATCTTAAGTACTGTCTTAAGATGTCATGAACCAATCACAGAGCTATTTTCGCATCTTAAGATATTACTTAAGACGATCTTGAAATAAGATTTGACTATGAATACCGGCCATAGATATCTGTGCGTGAGAATATCACTAATATATGTCTATGGCTGCGTTCACTTTGGGCGCTTACGCGCTATAAACATCATTCTATCTTTATCGCTCATTACATGCAGGAAGAAGATAAAATGACACTTAAGCGCTCAAAGCGCTCAAAGCGAACGCAGCCTATGTGTAAGCTGGTAGAAACCAATATGATGACGAGCAGTTCCCTCCGCATGCCTGAGTACATACCTCTCTCGCTCAAAATAAATGTTATAATGTTATATTGTATGACTCCGTCTCCTTATTCCTTAGTCCGTGTTCTATACATGCCAATGGACTACTACTTGTACAACTGTTCACAGCATTTTACCTCAGCACGGTGTGTAAGTGCTGCCCTTCTCTATAGATATGAATTCTCTTCATTTCATCGCACTTATGGCTCCTGCACACAGGACGCCGTAATGCTTGCCGCGCAGCAGAAGTTCGCGTGACAGCCAATCAATATACTGCTTTCCGTAATAACCTTCAAGCTCTTACGGAAAAACAACATATTGATTGGCTGTCGCGCGAATTTCCGCCGCGCGGCAAGCATTACTGCGTCCTGTGTGCAGAAGCCATTAGCACAAGAACAGGGCACCAATCATAAATCTTTTTTTTTTAACTCTCGATCTTATTTATCAATCATGTAATTCTTTTATCTTCGTTTGAAATCGTGAAAAGTGAAGAAATTGCAGCACTTAAACATGATCAGGGGAAGTCTCATCTTCCAATGTAAAGTCGTCAAAAGTGAACATTTCTATATATTTTCATGGTTAAATTTGTCATTTTAATCACGATTAAATTTTTCACTTAGTGTGAACTTGTAAAAAATTTAATCTTAAAAATATATGGAAATGTTCACTCTCTCTCTCTTTTCACGAGTTTACATTAAAAGAAAAGATTCATGATCGTCTCCAAGTATTGCAACATTGTTCATTTTTTACCATTTCATAGTAGAAAAAAAATTACACGACTAAGTAAAGTCAAGTTCATATGAAAAGACTTATGCTTGACTCTATTTCTGCCCTTCACATATTCCCATACTCCTCGCAACAAGAGTCTATCTATATACGTCTATGGTCGTAACGCCGCAGCGGCCATCTTTCTTTAGAGGGGATGAAAAAATCGATTGTGCAAGTCGATGAACGCCGATTGCAAGATCGATCATTTTTACGCACGTTGTATTTTGTAAATAAACGAACTTTGGCTCAGTACATATTATAGTAAACGTGAATATGCTTCTATCGAGCGTTCTTCGACCCAATTAATCGCGAAATATTTATCGTGCACTTTGCGACTTCGGCAAGATTTCTGCTGACGTGTCAAAATTGAGACTTTGCAAGTATATTGGGCGAAAAAGATGCCTCCTCGGATGTCGAATAAGACACGTCCGAGGGATTGATCCATTGTTTGTTTGTTTGTTTGTTTGTTTGTTTATTTATTTATTTATTTATCACAATCACTATATGTAATAAGAGCTCTGAGAAAGATGACTGACTCAGTTACTCAACTACTTAATCCGCTTGACACAATTTGTCGGCGTCGCGCAACGGTATATTTCTACGGCTATAATTGAATCTTTTTCTCTTCTTTTTAATTCTACTTAACATATTTTTGAGACTACCTCTCATAGGATTATACGAGAATCAAAAATGCGCGGAAGCCGGAGAGATTCGATTTATTTAGAACTGCAGTAAGGGAGAGCACATGATCTCTCGAGTTCCCGCGCATCTCTAATGCATCTCTATCGACGCCGATTAACTCTTAATCTGAGTTTATAGCTTTTATTCTGAATTCTCTTTTATCGATGAAAGTGCTTCTTTTTCCTTCAAAATAACACAAAGGCAGGCATATGATTTGACTGTTAAATTATTATTCCGATTAATGCAACCGGGCTTAAATGTGCTTATAAGCACTTTTAAATCATATTTAGAGGCACTTTTCTCGACTATAGAGTTCAGAATAAGGGTCTAATGCCCATTTCTTAAACTTTAATCTAAATTTAATCTTTATTCGGACAAAAACTTAATGTAGATTCAGGTTTAACCGATATAAAAGTCTTTGAATAGAGCTTAAACTCAAATTAAGATTTAATTGACGTTGGTAGAAACGGCCACAAGTCCTGGTCCACAATACATTGAGAAAAAGTACTTAAAAACTTGTTTACAGGATATAAAAAACTTATTTCTATGTGAATATATAAATTTTAAGAAACAAACAATAAAATATCCCACAAATAAATTTTCAAGTATTTTTTCTCAGTGTAAATGTAGCAATAGTCTTTGTAGTAATTTAGTCTTTTACTCTAAGACTGAAACTATAATTTTTTGTTTAAAAAAAGGGCTCTCTTGCACTGTCATATATCGCAATCTTTAATTTTAAGCATTGCCACGACTTCTGGCATCACGGCAAAATGCTTTTTGCTGGAAAATTATATTGCAATTTTGGCCTTAGAGCAAAAGGCTAAAGGCTTATTATATCTGTTGTGAGCTAAGACTAAAGGATATGTGTAGAATCAACACAATTTGAGATGTGTATCAGGACATATATCGAGTATAATTCGTACATCATCCGTGCCAACACTTACATGACTTCCATCACCTAGGATTGTCGATATTTAAATCCTCCCGCACGCATCAGATTTTGATTTCGGAGTACCCGTCACACACACGCGTGTTACATAATACACAGTAGTATAATCGCGCGGTTACTTTCTGGAATTGCAGGAAAGCGCAAATCACTCTTATATGCAGCCTCGATTCGTCAAATCCCTCGATTGTTCGTAGCTCTTTAGAGTGTATATATTGTGTTTAGAACTAATATTACGAATATACTGATTATGATACGTATTTAGGTAAAAATATGTATAGGAATTACACTACCGTATGTATGTGTGTGTGTGTGTATGTATATATGTATATATATATATATATATATATATATATATATATATATATATATATATATATATATATATATATATATATATATATATATATATATATATATATATATATATATATATATATATATATATATATATATATATATATATATATATATATATATATATATATATATATATATATATATATATATATATATATATATATATATATATATATATATATATATATATATCATATATATACCGCGTGTACGACACGAGCTCTATTCCGTACATACGAAATATATGCACGTTTCTACCGAAGCTAGGCGGAGGTGCGTAAAAACCGGAATGTCTCGGCGAGATCTCACTCTTACGCTTATCGGAAGATACATCCGCTAGTTACTTAACAATAAATTGCGAATCATAACTATCTCATCGCGATAATTTGCTCAAAATCAAACACTTCCAAATATTAAAGGAATTTTCACATATATTTTGCACGACACATTAAACTATATAATTTTATCGTCCAATAACGAATTGCGCGAATCTCGTTTTTGCGTGTCCGATCACCGTAACTGTCAAGTTTTAATTGATCTTACCAACACATAACAACGAGTTCAATCCGTCATTGAATTGCGAAGACAATGACCATACTTTAATAGCCTCTTTGATATGGAACTTCGCATAAAACGAAACAATAAAATTAACGTGACATTAACAAAAATTAACAGCAATAATCATCCCGTCTACGTTTCACGTGTGATAGGATTGGATAGAAAATATGCTATATTTTCTAATGTCTAGAACCGGCACGATGTAAACGTACAATATTTCCATGCAAATTGAAGTCATGTTCCTTGTAAAGACACAACTTCTCTCGTTACATTGCCCGAGAAAGACCTGGCAGGATATTACTTCGCAAAAGACACCTTCTAGTAAGTAAACACTTCTCTTTAATTAAAATGCAATCTCTATTTTAACCTTATTTTAATCTCTGTTTTTAAACTTATAAATCATAAGTTGAGTTGTAAGTCAACGAAATGGCTTGAATATCTCAAGTTATGGACCGTTAAAGATTAAAAATCCGCAAAAAGAATTCATTAAAAATCCTGCATTATGCAAGGAGAAAAATAAGACTTACAAAATTCATCAATAACTTCCCACCAGGCCTTTTAGGACATCTTACATTCAGCTTATTATTTATAAATTTTATCATAGTGCACAATCAGAATTTGTTTCAAGCAAAGCACTCGTATTGGATATTTTTAGTACATGAAACTTGAAATATATGATAGATTTCATATTATCACGGATGGCATTACCATACAGTAAGATTTGATATATGTTTATTTATATTTTATGTAATTTCTCGTAATATTTTTTTCACGTATAGCATCTACATGATGTAACAAGCAAGTATAAAAACAAATATCAAAACGTAAAGATAGTTATAAATTTGAAATGCCTGTCAGGAAAACATAAGTCTAACTTCATCCAAGTTAGTATTTGAATGTATAGAAGTAGAATAGAATCTTATTTGATTATTTCGATGAAAATTTTTCGTATAAAAAAAAGTGCATAGTAGCGCTATAGAAAATTTGAGATATATAAAGTAACACGCTATCTTTTCGAATACATAAAAATACTATAAAGTTATCCAAAAATACTCAAAGACGATATGACAAAATTTGTTTCGTTCGGGAAGATATAAATTTCTAAATATTATATCGTTGAATAGTTACGTATATATATAATATGATGTTATTCATACAAGAAAAATATGATTATGACACGATCATCGATATTATTATCTATGTCGTTACCGTGATAAACTACATACCCTTCCATAAAAAAAAATATTAAAAAAAGATTAAATCGCTTATTTCTCACTCCATTTATATCGGCCCATGATTAAAGGCCCATGGTTAAAGTGATGTGTCCACATTATTCAATTAAATATCATAGTGTTATGTTAAATTCTCACCACTTTCATTTTCATTGACGAAAACAAAATAAAAAAATTTAATAAAGATATACTTACGTGGTTTTGTTTTCTTTGTCTCTAAACTACAAGGCGCATTGAGGCTTAGTATGAGTGTTCTAAGTGTATGACTAGAGCACACATTTCAATTATTATTTGTCTAACTCGATCTAAAATCTATAATTGCCCGATTGAAAAAAAAAAGGAATGCGTCTCTATTTCTGTTGAGCATTACGGCTATACAACCATTGCAACATTCGAGAAGAATTTAAATTTCAGCCTTTAAGAAATGACATGACGTTACATAACATATTCGGGCAATCAAAAATGATGTTGATAAAATGACAATGATATTTTTATCCTCCTGAGACTCGATAAGAATATTGCGTCAATTGCACGGAGAAAAAAGAAAGAATAATCATTTCTTTGCAAATGTATGTCGCCGTATCAGTATAAATAATCATGTTGCGGGAAAATGGCTCTTGCAGCCTTTTCTTGCGGATCTAATTGATTTCGATAACGTCTCGCCAAGAAAGCTGCAATCACCTGAAAATATTAAAATTTTAATTTCTAAATCTTTGATTTTCTCAATCTGAAGAATGAAGTTACGAAATGTCCGAGAGAACAAAAAATATTATACGAATATTATCGAGATCCTTATATATATATAACGTAAACTGCTGTACGCTATATATCATATATAATTTATAGATTCTTCAAAACATTACGAATGAATATCAGCATATGAATATCTGAACGGCGAAGCTGCAATGCCGAGAAAAAGATAAAAAAAACCACAACCAGTATTGTGCAAGCACCCACCATCTGTTAGGAGGATCGTATGAAGTGACAGAGGACATGGCGATGGTGTTAGACTAGAGGAAAGCACTAGGATTAGCTCGTGGATCTTTCTGGTTCCTGTAGCGCACGGTCAACCATACACCAACGAACTGTAATCGGGCACACATGTTAGCATCAGCAATGTGACAGCACTTTTACTATACTATGATCAGTGTGTATGTACAAGTATGTACAAGTATAGTGCATTTATATATAGTGCATTTATATATAGATAAAAAAAAACTCAAATAAATAAAAAATCAAATATAACCATATACTCTGCAAGGAGTATTTTTCACAAACTCAGAAATATTTACAAATGTAACATAATTGTGCAATAATATATATGTGAGAAATTATCATTTGCAGAATCTTACCTCTGTAAAGCTAAAGAATAATCCTATGCTGCCACACAACTTGAAAGCATAGTCAATGGTAGATTGCAGTTTATGAATACATGTGGGACAAGGCGGACAAGGTAAATCAATGTCGACTGCTTCACAACAAATTCTCTGCAAAAGATTTCAACAGTTAAATTGTTGAACAAATACCATTCTCATATTGCGCTACATACATTGACTTCATCGCAAGGAACTTCTGAATCGTGAGTTTTATTAAATCCACAACAATTAAAAGTGTTCTGGACTTTGATCTGCAAGTCCTTGTCAACACGCATCCAACCCTAAAAATAATTGTTACATTTCATCTATCATGTATTTCATAGATGTTAATGTAACTGTAATTCTGTAGTATAAAATAGTAGGAGTATAAAATATTAAAATATAAAAATATAAAAATATTACCTGCTCTGCCAGTTGCTCTTGTTGTTTAGTGTTGACAGCGAGGCAAGCGCAAGCGATGCTGAATTGAATGAGGAATAAAAGGAATAAGATAAGCATGTACTGTGTAGCACAATTAAGGAATTATATGCTTGTTTCTTTATTCTTTCCAAATGATATCTCATAGTACCAGATGTTCAATGAAGAGTTTTGTGTATGAAATATATTATATCCTCATAACAATACAAAAATAATATCCAGGAAGTTTTAATATTTGCTCCAAGATGAATACTGAACAAATTTGTTCCTTTATCACAAATTAAACTTATATAGTTATAAGCCAAGGTGAGACATTAATTTGTGCAGTCCAATTGAGACCCAACTGTAAACAGAAAAGGATACAAAGAACAGTAAAACCTGATGGTGTTTAACAGCACCAATCAGGCCCAGTATGGAGATTAGAATCAGGATCACTCCACATGCTAAAATGCCACCAATAATAGGGAGATTTGTGACTAAGGCTGATGCTTTTCCATATACAGCAACTCCTATCAGTATAAAGGCAACAACCTGAAGAAAACAATTATCAATGAACCAAGATACATGTACACATACATGTACTCATCTCTAATATATAATACAATGCAAAATTGATATATTCTGTATAAAAATCATGAGATAATCTCATCAGAGAAAAACGACACATTAGACTTACGCACAATCTGATCACCAGCAATCACCAGCTACAGTTTACACTTATCTCACTCGTAACAATTAATCATTCTTATAGGTATACGATAAAAAAAATACGACAAAAGTCATGTACAGCTACTCAAACACGGTCGCATTAGCGATAATTCTAATGCAATCATTTAATCATCAGTCAGACAGCAACATCAGAGAACGCGCTGACACGTACGAGTTAACAATCTCTGCTTTTTCATATATATCGCGGTTAAAGACGTGTGTAATTCAAGAGGAGAGGAGGGGAGCGACTAATCAGTCAATATGTACTCGAATCAGTTAAATGCTGATGTAACTACGCTACGCGTAGATATCTCCCTCGAGAGTTCGTGTAAACATCGAGTGAGGCGGAGGGGCCTCCGCGATCGGACGAACGTCACATACATCTGCCGCTGAAGAACGTTATAAAAGCCGACGCGTCTACTTACGATATAAAGAATGTTGAGCGCTGTCAGAGCATTTTTAGAGCACGTAAAACCGCCGCACATCTTCGGCTGCGCTCGTCTGTCCGCTGCCCTCGTCGAATCTCTACGGTCCGCTCACGTCGATTCGCGACGCAACGCGTGAAACTGTGGACGATTTTCGTCGTGCGAGGAGGAGACGCGAAAGGGGGATACGTGTCACGCGAGAAAGCGCAATTCGCTCTTACGAATACGTGTGCAAATTTTCCGCCTAGCTAAACCCCACACAACGGCAGACGGCTCGCTACTGCCCGAAGCAGCGCGATGGCGGCGATCGATGCGCCTGAAAGATTGCGACTATCGCGCGCGAAACACAAACTCGCGCGTACGCGCCGTATGCGGCGTGCACGCCCGAGAAAATTGAGAATTCCCAGATAGCACAGAGAATTTAAAAGGAATTCAGTTGTATGTCACCAATTCTGAGTTCATTTTTAAATGCAAAAAGAATTCTTTTCACTCAACTAAACTTTGAAGAATTCTTTTTGCATCTGAAAATGAATTCAGAGTTAGTGACTGAATTCTTTTTGAATCCTTTTTGAATTCTCTGTGCTATTTGGGTTGTCATCGTTGTAACATCGATGGCACGGATCTCAATGCTGCAGACCAGTAAGTCAATGCTGTAACTTTTAACGACGGTGTCGTTATCGTTATAATACATGGTAGAAAAGCTGCGCGAACGACACATGCCAGTGACAGCGTTATTATAAGAAGTCTTTTCGAAGAACTTCTGCAATAAGTCAGAGTAAAACAATACTTTCTTTCGCTCTAACTTATTGCACTAGAGTGTGTACTTTTGTAGAGTTCAAAAGTTTTCCTAAAACAAGATCCATAGGCTGCATTAAGACATTCACTGTCAATACTGCAAACGTCATCATGGTATCTTAGACCACGTTCCGAAATTCACTGCCAGTGTTGAAATTCTATAGTATTGGCAGTGAATTTCGGAACGCAGTCATAGTAGCACAATTTATTGGCGTTACATTGGCATATTGATTATATTGGCATACATTGAGACAATATGGCCAATATTGGTTATAAAATATGAATAATTTGCTATTATTGCACAAGATGATTATACCAATGTTGGCATACATTAGGGGGCATTAGGCCAATATAACTCAATATGTTGCCAATATTGGTAAGAAATGAATTATTAATATTTGGGACTCTGTATTGGCTATGAAATACAAAGTGTCTACTTTACAATATTGAGCTAATATGGAATATATTAGGAGTCCAATTTGTAGCTAATATTGCTTTAATGAACTGTACTACTAGAATCTATGTATACTTTCTGGTAACTATCGGCACGGTACGTTAATTAAAATTGAATTAAAATAAAAAAATTAATTAAAACAAAAAATATTAAAGACATTAACTTAAAGACATTAAATTACATATCCAAAATATATATAGTTGTAGTTGTATGATTGATGATTGATATAAGTTCGATGACGATTTATGTAATCGATGCTCCCCTCCACTTGGCTTTCATTTAACGCTTCTCAATCGTCGGCATCTTCCACAATGTCACGATGTTTTGAGTAGGAACATTATCTACTTTGTAATTACGGGTTGTCTCCTGCGCAAAAGGCGTGAAAGGCAAGGAGTATATACGAAAGTAAGGAGAACTGCGGTAAGGAGAAAGGTAATTCGACTTACACCTGCTTATTTTGTTTGCGTACATCTTACAACACATTGAAAACTTACAGTAAACTGACGTAGTAAAATTCTTTCAAGGATGCTATATTAATTAGTTACAAATATTCCAACGCGAGCTGATATAAAGCCAAGTATATGTTAAGAAGTCACGGCGGAAATACTCGAAGCATCATAACTTCTCTCTCTTACCGTTAATTAAACTTTCCCAACGTGCAGTTACCTTTATATCGATGGCGACAACTAAAGGAAAATAGGAAATCCTTGTTAGATATAAAAAAGAAATATCAAGTCAATTTTGTTCGAAATGGAATAACTTGGTTTTATATTTTATTTAGGATTCCAATGCGACAAACCTTTTATATTAATCTAATAGAACTCTATAAATCACTTCATAGATTAAAGCTATTATGATTAGATACACGCAAGATATGCATTATCAATCTATTTTTATCGAAAGTATCATCGTTGATACTTGCTACCCTTCATTGTTCTGTGAGAAAAGAAAACGGAAAAGACACTGACGAAATATCATGTGCCGTCTTTCGCAGGGATGTCATCAGAATTTGTGGCAAAGTATCCGTTTCTTACGAACGCGCGTAACAATATCTTGCTCGGAGTCGGTGTCGTAAATATGTCATATCGGATCTCGCATAGATTAAATGTAATGACGTGAGCACTTGGCCCAGATAACGCGTAAACATTTCCCGTATTTAAATCCAGTTTCCCACTACGCAACCATTTACATTTTGCATTCGTTACATTCCACTTTAAAATTCTAGCTTTGCTCGTTTTATTCCGTGTAATAAAAACAGCATTACGCATACGCGATACGATAGCGTCATTTTTCTTAGCGCAAAAACGCCGCGAAACCCCTCGCAGAACCCATCTACTAATTTATATCAAATTATAACAATTATTAGTTACTATAAAATATGATTCTTTTAATTAATTATAATTCCAGAGAATTATACACAATTAATCTATGTAATAAATATGCAGATCTTAATACTTATAAGAATGTTATAATACTAAATATTAATAACTTAATAATTAAATATTAAATATATACAATAAATATATGTAGATTTTAATATTTATGAAATATGTAAGTCTGAAAAGGACACATTTACATTTTACCTATTTTCATTGGTCATGTTAATTAATTACGACAGTTAATTAATTGAAATTGGAAATAAATAAATGCGTTTTCCAGATGTAAATATAACCTGTTTAATTAATTAAAGTTTAATTAATTACTGTGGTGAATTAGTCGTAATTATATTAATTAATTACGATGGTTAAACGAAATTGAAAAGAAATAAATTGTAATATTCTTCTCAGATGTGAATGTAACCTGATTAATTAATTGCTGTATTTAATCAAAATTGAAAATAAGTAAAATGTAACACTCCTTTTAGATACACTAATCGCATATATGCAGATGCAATTATATATTATTCATTACTTGCATTTATTTATCGCGATATGTATCAGTTCTTATTATTATTATTGTTAATTATAATAATTATAATAATTATTGTTAATATTTAAATACTGTAAGTGCGTATCTTCTCTTCAATCCAATATGAGTAAACTGCAACGTGTAAAGTTCCAAGATGTTATTGTCGTTTTCCATCTGATAACACTTACACAACAAAGTGCGTGATTTGTTTTCCCGAAGGTTAATTATAACGTTAACGTATACGCACGTTTTTCTCGAAAATTGGTACTGTGCAACGTCGTCTATATACGAAGATACTAAATGTACGTGTATTTGCGACAGGAGATAATGTTCCAAGGCGTGATAACTGTTGCCGTGTACACATCTGATTTAAAGGTTGTTGAGGAAAAATTCCGTGAAGCGAGTTTATAAACAATGATTATTAAAAATGCACTGCTGCACGAGAATTGCAGTGTATTTTACGCTCATTACACGTATGATTATAATAATCCTTTTATGTGCGACAATAGATGATAATGTAGATGCAGACTGTAAACAAAAGGCCGATTTGTAATAATCTCTGACAATATAAGTCAGAGGTAGATCGTTACAATTGCGCAGATTTCCTCGGGAGAGGGAAGGCCGAATCTATGAACAAGAAAATTGAAAGAATGAGTCAGAATATAAATATGAGATGTAATATAAATATGAAATGTGTAAACATAAATATCGTAATATCTTATATATTCGGTGATGGTCGCGCTGCTTACTACGTTAATATTCACAAGAATATTTATTCAAAAATACTTTATTTTTTCCTGGCACGTAAATAGAATTCAACGAATTCACATTGCAATTCACGATTGTACCTTTTTTATACCTCCAATTAATATCCACCGCATAATTTACGACGTGAAGATTGTATTTCGGAAAAACCATTATATGACGTGTGACATTTTAAAATGATTAATTACCAGTGTATATGTAATATTTCTGCGTTTGTCGTCGTTAATCAGCAGCTTATAATGAAAAAGCATCGCTACGTATGAATAATTGCATAAATATGTATATTGGATTGTGTGTATGTCTCTTTAATTAATTGAAAATATCAATCGTGTTATCTGATGTAAAACGAAGGCAAGTGGTGTTTGTTTTCCCAAATTTTATGAAATTCTACCCAATCGATATTTATTCGATATTTAACACAATCAAATGATATGGAGCACTTCAATATATTTGTTCTTAACATGTCAAGCATATATGTTCAAACGATGTTCGAATTGGATTACACAATGGTGAAGTATCGATAGTACAAACACTATCGATATATTCCTGTAACGATACGCTCTCATCAGAAAGACAACTGTTAAAAAATTCTCTCACTTCCCGCAATTCTCATTTTTGGGAATCATCCAATATGTAAAAATGTCCGTCATCGTGCGAATAACACGAGTATCGGATGTCTCGTCGGTATTTAAATAGTTTTATTTTTTTCAAATCCTGAGAAGCACAAAAAAATGGTTACTTTGTGAAATTATTGTCGTACTTTGTGAAATTGTAAAGATCATTCGTGGAAAAATATTTCATACAATTTATTACTTAATAAATTCCAGACTCATATGAACAAATACAGCTCGAAGAAAAAGAAATATTTACAAATTGTTTAATTTACAAATGTATTATATGATTTCTTTTGTACAAACATATTATGACTTTAGGACTTTTGTATGGGATTGGACGTGACGTTGCAGCTGTGTTCTGCAACAGAACGCAACGTAACATCTGTTGCCTCCTGAAGCGAAGCACACACGTGTGTACACGTATGTGTTAACACATCATTTGATATTCATTCGTTCGCCCTTCTTCATCTGAAACTAAAAGTAGTAGACAAACATCTTCATCGGGTGGGGACAATGACAGATTCGGCATTGATAACGAAAGCACTGATAAAGGAACGTATAAAATCAACGGCGCTTAAATAAGCCGTCACTCCATCCGCAACAAAATCCGGGTGCCATTAAGTTCGTGAAGACCCGTGTTTCCTAGTAACATTAGCACGTTTCATTGTTATCTCTGTAAGCATAAAGTCGATTAAAATTTACCAGAAATTTGCATGAGCCACATTCAAAGCGCTCGGTTTTTAATCTGTCTGCTTTATTTCGAGTTTTAATTGAAGTGAGCCACATAAATTGCGATATTACATGTCGATATAATTAAAAGATTGTTGGCATATTTCTACTTTGAACACTTTCTGTAAAATGTACATGTTAAAGTTTGCCTAATGTTATCATATATTTTAATTATAATAATAATCTCATTGCATTCTTTCAATAGTGAATTTCTTCTTTTCAGTCCTGTAATACGAAGAAATAAAAGATGGACCAATCCCATATCAGACGATGGCCTCAATATCTAGCAGCGATAACAGGTAGGTAACATTTTATATAGGCTATAAATTTTATTTCGCGAGAGGGTATCGTGACTATTAAATCTAGAGAGATCAAGTAAGATATATTTTATGGACACATAAGACATATATTTAACCCTAAACCACTAAACAAAGTTTACATAGACCAATCCCTCAAACCGTTTTTAAAAACATGTGTTTTGTTTTTTTTTATTATATCTTTTTTCAACTTTATTTAATCGCAAAGATACAAAGGGGATGATGAAAATGAAAACTTTATCGAGAATTTATATTTTTCTGCAAAGTTTATGTCGCATTGGTTGTACAGAATTACAAAAGCTCTTACGTAATAAAAGTGCATGCAAAAATAAATAGGAGCTTTGTTCAATATGTGACGAAAATGAAAAACAAATTTTCAATGTAAAATTTTCCCAAAAATTATGAGCAAATGTAAAAATGCGCTAGATAAAATTTGTTTATTTCATGTTTAGGGCTTACGTATTTTTTGATGTTTCTTTGAGGGTCTAGAATTAAGGTGTGTACACTTTTGCACGGTTTAAAGCATCTTAGTACATGAACATTTGTGATCTTAATAATTAATATACAAAATGTTTAGGAATTATACATGTGCACATACAGTATTTCACAAAAGCGTTAACACACTTATCTCCCATTTTCGATAATGATAATAATAACTATGTGTAGCCGCAGATAATGATCAAAATGGACATGATATCAAAATGGGCTATCGCACTCGCGTATCAGGAAAATCTTAGAGTTAAAAGTGGTTCGAAGACCTAATATCAAGTGTGAAGTCGAGGGTGCGTTTATCTCGTGTCATAGCTTGTTACCTCAGCGCTGCTTTTCCGCGTAAATATTACGCAACGTAATTACTCCCACGGCTAAGCTTCGTATTCACGTTTTCCAGCCGTAAATAATCATCTCGACTGCTTACTTCATCCAGAACTTCGCATAATTAATCCCTTAAGTGGTCTACTTAAGCTACCGTGCTTAGTGTTTCATTTTGGCCGTGAACACGCGCAGCTGCGGAATGCGACGTAGATGCGATGTGTCCTGAGCTCTCCTGAGAGCAACAAACACAGGCACTCGCGCCCCAATCGGATGACACAACAATGTTATTAGGCGACACTTAATTACACGCAGCAGTAAACAATACACATGATTTCCCAGGAAGCGAGATTCGGCGCTTATCTATGAGAATCGCTTTAATCTACTCCGATTGGACTTGTCGAGAATAAGCGCGACTCGGAATTCACCCGGCTGATTTCATTGCAGCCACCATATCGCTGGCAACTACCGGGTCTCACATAGGTTGGACGTCACCCATCTTACCGATATTGAAATCACCCGAGTCCCACGTCCTGATAACCTCCGATGACGCCTCCTGGATCGCGTCGTTTTATCTCTTGGGCACCATACCCGGCTGCATTCTGGCGGCTTTCATAGTCGACTGGCTGGGCCGAAAGACGAGCCTGCTGATAGCCGGCGTGCCATTAACCGCCGGCTGGTTTTTGATCATCGTCGCCTGGAATCCGTACGTCCTGTACGTGTCGCGCTTCATCAGCGGCATCGGCCAAGGCGTCGTGTACGTCATCTGTCCGATGTACATTGGCGAAATCGCTGATAAAGAAATCAGGGGCTCTCTCGGCTCCTTCATCAAGCTGATGGTCACATTCGGGGAATTGTACGCTCACGCAGTCGGCCCGTTCGTCTCCTACGAATGTCTCGCCTACGTCTGCTTGGTCATCCCGCTGATCTTCTTCCTGACCTTCGCGTGGATGCCCGAGTCGCCGTACTTCTTACTCATGAGAAATCAAAACGAGAAAGCGATGACGAACCTGCGGAAATTGAAACGCAACGTTTCCGAGGACCAGCTGGAGGAAGAACTAGAGCAGATGCAGAAGACGGTTATCCGCGACCTCAGCGACCAAGGCCGCTTGTGGGACCTCTTCAGCACGCCCGGCAACAGACGCGCCGTCATCATCAGTTTCGGCTTGCAACTGATTCTCCAGTTTAGCGGTATATGCGCGATCGAGTCGTACACCCAGGAGATTCTCGAGGAAGGAGAGACCAGTTTGCCCGCGAGCATTACGGTTATTCTCTTGAGCTTGCTTCAATTGGTTGCAGGTGTCGGTGCGGCGGTACTGGTCGATAAGCTCGGCAGACGACCGTTGCTTATGAGCACCACCTTGTTAGGTGGAATTTCGTTGACCGTTGCAGGCACATTTTATCTCCTCAAGACCGAGCTGGGGATAAACATGACCGGATACGGCTGGATATTACATGCCTCCGTGATATTCTACGAGCTGATCATCGCTCTCGGTCTGAATCCGCTGCCCTACATGATGCTGGGCGAGCTGTTCCCGACGAACGTCAAGGGCGCCGCCGTGTCGTTGGCTAATCTGGTCTCCTCCTTGCTAGCATTTATTGTCTCGAAGATGTACCAAGTGATCTCCGACTCTTGCGGGGTGTACGCGGCCTTCGGCTGGTTCTCCATGAGCTGCTTCCTCGGCGTGTTCTTCATCGCGTTCGTCGTCCCGGAGACTAAGGGCAAGTCGCTGCTGGAGATTCAGGAGGAGCTCCATTGCCAGAAGAAGAGGCAGAAGGCGAAGCAGAAGGCGAAGGACGCACAGCAGATCCAAATAAGTACGATAGCTTAGGTCAAGCGCAAGTAACATCGCGATGCTTACGTACACGTCGACAATTCATGCACGATACTTTTCAAACGATAGAAATAAGCGCCGCGCGTATCTCGGATTATGGAACATTCGGCAGGGAATCTCTAAGCATATAATCGTCCTTCCGATAGGACACCGATCGTAAAGCGGACGTGGACGAGCAATGGTAAGATCAATTATAATATTCGGATAAAATTGGATTGTCTCGCTTTCGACTCACTGAAATTTACGGGAGGTCACAAAATTTGATAATATCCAAAAAGATGTAATCTTATACTTGGCAGGATCCTTTTGTATATGGCCTCGATTTAGAATTCTTCTAAAGTCAACAGGAAAATATTCTAATGAACGAAAAAACGTAAAAAGAAATTTTGGTTGTAAAACGTTGTTTCCTCTAATTCCATATTCTAAACGAGAACTGTTACTGAAAGAGTATTTTTCTTCTGATGAAAAGTAAACTATTAGAAATTAGAAATTAGAAATTTATTAGATATTTTATTCTAACACTTTTTCTTTTGGATCAAGAGGAATATTAGAAAAAAATTTCTCTTATTAGGGTTGCATTCCGAAACGTTCTTCTTGAGGAAACGTTTCCTGAAAATCTGTAGTTTATGTTATGTATTATGAATTTTCAGTAAAATTTTCTTCAGGAAGGACGTTTTGGAATGCACCTCGAAAAGCAAATTTTCTTTTACTAGAAAAAATGTCTATTAAGAACAAGACTTGTATTACAGATAAAGGATAAAGTTCTCCTATAATCCTAAAAATATTGTACTTAGAATATCTTCTTAGTTTTAGAAGAATCCTTCCAAGGCCATGTATAAGTGGATCCGCTGAAGATCGTATATTTTTGAGCGTGCTATTTATAAATTGTTGATGGAATTTTACAAATCTCCCGAGAGCACTCTCTGTCAAAAGTCAGCGATCGATTTACGCGCGCGTTAACATGAAAAGTTAATATGTTAATTCGAAGAAAAATTTCGAGAATCTCTACGTTGCTAGTTGCAAAGTCTATTTGTATTTTGATTAGGATCGGCTATTACGAAAATATTTTTTTCTCCACGTTTTGGTAGCAACGTGATAAGAACGAAACAATGAAACTCCAATCGAGATCTAAATTGTAAGTATTAGAAATCGAATTGCTCAGTTGAAAGTTAGATCGTAAGATTATTAGTGTTTAAGAAAGGGCCCTTATATTCCATTTAAGAAGGCGCTTCGATCGAAGTAACGAGGTCGTCAAAAGAGCCATTTCCGATCGAGATATCATCAGTGTTACGACTGAAGGAAGAACTCATACCCCAGATAAACAAGATGTCAGTTCGAGTTAAGTTTAGACTGATGCGCAAACGAGCGCCTGTCACTTGGACAAACTTAACAATCTTAATTAAAGAAACACATCACTCCGAGCTACGCAGAACTAGGGAGGCAGGGAGGGGGGAGATAACGGCGTGAATTTATTAATACCGCGCTGTTCGTCAGCATTGGTCATGAATGCAAATCGATCCTTTCGTTCGCGAGGTGTATAGGCTTATTCACAAAAACCAGTACAAGAAAGCGTAAATGTCGTTATCTGATTATATCGACTTAGAGATAATTACACCAATGATGATAACTCGATCGGACAGAAGCTCGTTGGCGAATTCGCGGCCGAGAATAATGCGAATTTACAGTGTATCGGTGGTTTCCGGAAAACTGTTCCAGGAGCGGCATTCATGCGGAATCCATCGTACATCCAACGTGCGTTAGCTAGGGCACCGATCACGGTAGAGCAAACTCGCATGACCACCTTTTTTCCCCTTTTAGGCAGGGTTAAATACTGAAGTTTCTGAGACTGATAGCTTTTAATTAATCGTAAAGTATTTATTTATTGTCTTGGGCGAGCATCGAACAGGCGGAGAAAGAGACATAGAGAAAGAGATTCGACATTGTCACCTCGCGTATCTGTTGTGGTTTCAAGGTACTCTTGATATATCCCTGAATTTACACTGCAAGTAACCCTTACCACACGCACACAAGTGATATACGCCGGCTTTGTTTATCTTTTGCGGTTTGATACAGCATCCTAAAGAATGATTATATGTGCAAAAAAATTACGTCAGAATCGATCTCAGCATGTAAAATCTCTCACATTTTAATAACACTATAAAATATTTCAAAGCATTTTAGGAAAAAATATTTCGGACAATAGTTTTTTTATTTCAATGGGTAAATAAAATGGTGATCTCTATTTGACTATGAGACGCTCTACCAAGATTTTTTCAAAGTTGATAGAGTCTCATGGCCAAATACAGAGGTTATTATCTTACTTATCAAACCAAGGAACTTTGAAATATTTTTTCCTGAAATGCATTACTAGTGAAATATTTTATAGCGTTATTAAAAGTGAGACATTTCGAAAGCTGAAATTTATTTTAAACTAATATTTTTTGCATAAATAGTCATCTCTTTTGGCATAATACCGAACCACGAAAGATAAACAAAATCGGTGTGTATCTTGTGATAAGTGTTGCTTATGAAAAAAATATTTCAGAGTTTATTTGTGGGATATAAAGTTTATTTGATAGAAATAGTTTATTTCACAGAAGTAAATTTTGTTTCTCGGGAATAATCTTCAAATCTTATAAATTTTTTAGTATTTTTTCCGGTGCACAATAAAGAATAACATTTGGAGGAATTTCTCGCAGGAGAGAAAAGAAAGGCGGAATCCTGTTCAATGCGACGCCACACGGCGATTAGGACCATCTTTCTAATCCCTTTAAGGCAGGGTGCAAAACAAACGTCCAACATGATATAACGCTTACGATTAAACGTTATTGAAGAATAGCGCGTGTGACGCGCGTACCTCAATGAAGATATCGCGCACGCCTATGGCCCTGATGCAAGAAGGATTTAGACGAGCACTGTGGCATGACTAACTTATATTTCCCTTTCAGGCAGGGTGAGACACGATTATATGTTATAAGAATAGCGGCGTAGAATATAACTGGCCCAAATTAGAGTTAAAAGAAACAACGTTCACGCGTCGACGCGTGTTAGAATCTTACCCCGGGTTTCCGGGCACGCGCTCTCGCAGGTGTTCGCCGATGATGAGTGGACGTCTGACCGACGCGAAGAAGATCCGATCGGTCTTATAATCGGCTTAATGGCGGCTCTTCCTTCCACTCGCGTCGAAATGTTATTCTTGACCGACCGACGTCATCCACCTGTTACGTAAGAGAGAAAGACAACGCGCACGTAGCTACGTTTGGCGAGCAAACAACCGAAACCGCGTGAATCCCACTCAGCTTCATCCACTCGCTCGAGTGACACACCGAAACATCGGTCATCCGCCTTTTATTGTACGGCTACATCACACACGCGGGAGCGCGCTATACTTAATAAGTTACATCTTAACTCGAGTGTCAAGTATGTTCACGCTATTGCACGACTCTCTACATGTCCCTTTGAGGCAGGGTTTAAGACTAATCGAATTCGCACTTCGACATATAGATTTCTACATTCGAGATTTCTACAGTGTAGAAGTTTGCAATATACGTTGACAATAAAGACTCACCATTTTATCTGCAACCGCTCAGGAAAGAGGAAAGTCACTCGTTCCTCGCACTTCCTTTCCCAGTCGCGACTCCCCCGCGATGTTTCGCGACTTCTGTCTGTTCGTGGAACTTCTAGGACGAAGTCGTTGTTCTTTAGGGGGCTTGAACATTTTTTACCGACAAAATACTAACATTATTTAAAAAAAAAATGAATAACATAGCCCTGGGACCATCTATATAGATCCCTTACAATTGAATTTAGGAACTTAAAATGTATGAAAAGCTTGCAGAAAGATTTCTATATATGTATGCACAATCAATTTTTCCGCTGAGTTTAGTAAAATAAAACAGCATATATTTATAATAATAACTGAATAATCGTGTTAATGGTGGTCGCCTTACGATATCGACATTCCTGCAGTTCGTTATTCACTCTGGCATCGCCTTAGCAAGTCAGTGAAGAAGAGACTCCGCAAACCGGACAACTAGTATGTATATTTTTGCATTATAATAACCGTTATACATAAACGTTATTACAATATAGAAACATAAATTTTTATAATATCTCATCCATTAACATCTCACAACGCCTCGCTATGATACACACCTCGTGGTCGAGATTATATTATTACTACTACAATCCCTGGCGTAAAATCTCGTCAGCGTGTTCGGAATACGTCATTCGCATGATTCTCTCCTTGAATAAAACACGCGTGCCTCGCGTAAGCGAGCGACAAGATGTGAAACTTAGGACCTTTTATTCCGCTAACGTGCGTATTTTACGAAAGTATCCGTAAGTTCTGATGTAAACTTAATACTAACTTGAAACATTTAATATGCATCGGCTTGAATTTTTAACTAGATGTTCGTCTCCTTCTTGCATTTAATAATAAAATGAGAGAATTCAGCATTATAATGTTTATCAAGTTCCGAGGTGCGCTCAAAAATTCAAGTTTAATGTCATAAGAGACTAACTCTAAGGATTGTATTAATGGTCGTTACTTGAAACTTGCTTCAAATAAAATTTTCAGATTTGTATTTAGAGTTGGATACGAGTTTTTCAGTGGAACAACGATTGCAAACGTAACGTCGCGCATATTATACTACTAGAAAAATTTAGATGTAACTCTGAATTCGAATCTGATTATCTCACGTGAGACAAGTAACGACTATTAATATGAGCTTGAGATTGACATTAGAATAAATCTTTATTTCTACACAGAGAAAGTAGATTGGTTGAATTAACGCCACAATGATACAACTACAGGCGTTTTGGTTGAAGAAAAGAGATTTTCTGGTTCTTAGAAACAAATTTCGTTCATGAGAACTACAGAAATTCTGTTTTCATAGCTTCTTCTTTCATAGTTTCATAATTCATAATTTCATAATTCAATTTTTCGTTATAAGAAACAGAAAATTTTTCCTTCCTATGATCAAAACGCATTTAGTTGTGTCATTGTCATGTTAATTCAACCAATCTATTTTCTCCGTATAAGAAGGAAAGGCTTATTTTTTTATGAGCTCTTTATTCCTATAACAAATTTAGTTCATAAGAAATTCTGTTTCCATCAAACAAAACGCGTTTAGTTATTATCACATTAATTTCATCTATCTCTTTTCATAATCTTTTCTTTATTAATTCAATTTTTTTCATAAGAACCAGAAAATCTGATCAATGAAGACGCACTTAATTGTGTTGTAATCACATTGATTCAACCAATCTCTCCGTTCGTTCCGTGTATAGGAAAGGATGTGACAATCTCCGAATTTGGATCACGTAGCTTTAAATTAAGGAAATATTTGTGATGCAGATACTCATATAAGTCAGGTGATTAATTATTTTCATATTCACGAATCCTCTAATTATATCTCGGCAAATACGAGTCTCCAAAGTTAATATTCTGTTTGCACCTTATCGGCGTCTCGACTCTCTTTTTTCGCGATAAACATATTTTTTCACGGAACGTGACGTACCACCGTCGCGATGTATATATCGGGATTACAAAATAAAGAAGGTAATACGTCGAAGCAATGCGAGGCACGAGAGTCACTTCGCCCGACAATCTCGGCCGATCAATGATCGGAGAACGATCCCGCTTGTTCTCGCTGAGTTGTCGCTTGTCGCTCGCGTAACACTGCAGCGCGCAATTCTTCACGAAGAAAATGCCCGTTTCTTCTCTCTCTCTCTCTTTTTCTTTCTCTCTCTCTCTCCCTCTCTCTCACTCTCGTAAAAACACACACAAGCGATCGTACTCACACCGGCACTATGATTGTCGAAAGAAACTGGAGTGCGATCGCGCGCTGTCATACATACACACGCAGTTTTGGCACACGCGTCTCGTATCCAATACTTAGATTCTAAGTGCAATTGTTGTAACCTCAATAAAAGGAGCGCCGTTGTTGGAAATCGCCGCGCTATGCCAAACGATCTCCGTCATCCCGGCGCGTCCTCGGTGGGGTATCATAGTGTCGTAGAAATTAAAAAAGGACGCGACCAGCGCAAATATTCTCTTTTCTCCGCCTTCCCGTTTATCACCTCGTCCCTAAAAAGTTCCCTACCGTCACTACACTCGAACACTCGTCGAACTCGATCCTTTACGCGGGATCTCTGCGAGACTGTCCAGAAACGCGCGGGTTTACTAAGCTAGTATTTTATTTGCTCGCGCCTGTCGCGACGCGAACGACATGAACGAACTTCTCGCGTTAGGCCAAGTGTTCTCCAAGCGTACGCAAAAGAAGACGGGAACGAAGGCTCGTAGTCGTCTAGAGAAAAAGGCATAGTGGAAAAGACCGTACTAGGAAGCTAATATATCCTCTACCTCGAGAATGGCCTTAGAAGCTAATCAATTACAGGTAAAAAAGGGAAGCAGGGTGAAGCACCCAACTACTGACGCTCAATTATTCAATCCCTTTAGTCACTGTTTGTAGAAAAAGCTGCTTTTTTCGCGACAAACGATTTCAGTTGAAATCTTCTCTTGAAATCTTCTCTTAGAATTGTAGAGCGCAGGCGAGAAGTTTAACTGCAATGCTGTCGCAAGAAAAACCAAGTTTCCTCTGAAACGTTAGTCACTAGTTCATCACTAGTTAGTCTAGTCACTGGCGAAGCAAGTGTCACTTAAACTGGCCAAAAACTAGTCAGAATCTCTGGCCAGTTACTGGCCAGAAAGAGGTCGCTTTTTCTACTTGGGACTGTTGCCCAAACAAGTTAGAGTCCATAGAATGCTTACCTATAAAGTTAAATTCAGCAATCCCTCACATAATGAAATAAAACTTTTATGCAATTATTTATCTCTCTCGAACATTACACTCATAATTAATATCCGAAACAGATACAGTGACTGACTCATAATTTAATTATACTTTTTTGTATACTTTAATATTAATTTTCAAGTATACTACATAATTTTCATTGCCAATGGATATTATGAAAAACGGCCGTGTATACGTCACGTCACGTAGGAAATAACAATTTGTATAGGCGTAAACAATTTGTGTAGGCGTAATCTAGAAGTTTATGGCACCTGGTGTCACTGACTAAGGGGATGTGAATAATAGAATGTTTTATTGTATCTCGATAGAAAAGGGATTCGCGCGACGCACTGCGCAAGTAAATAGTCGCGTTTCCGTCGCGCGGATCGCCGAAAAATACGGTCGAAATGTTCTCTTCTTTTTCCGGCGAGTGATCCACGAGCGCGAGTCGATTTACGATTTACATTAATAACGAACTTCGAAATTATCAGCGAAATTCGGCCGCAACGATTATCTCGCTCGATCTTCAACGCCGATTTTACGTGAAAAGAAAGCCCGCGAAACGTTCGCCCGAAGGAGCGGTTTTCGTTAATCTCTAACTTACGTCCTTATGTGACACCAATCGTATCACGAGAGATCGGCGATTACGTTTGCCGAATGATTGTACGACGCGAACGTGTCTACCTCGAGTAGAATAGTCGGACACAACGACAAAGCTACTAATACTGAAATGGAACCTTATTCTGGACATATAGCGAGTGCGCTAACATATCTTTTTGATTCTAAGTTTAATTTTATTTATATGAGCGCCACGTACAATGTCGTTTCAATTTCAGAATCAGTGAGGCACATTTAACGTTCGTTATGTGTTCAGAATACAGCCCATTCTCGTCTGCTTTCCTAGACGATAAGTATTTCTCAGCTAATAATGCGATCGAGCCGGCTGATCGAAGTCGCATTGTCGATTCTGTCGTTCATAGGCATAGACTCGTGGAACAGACTGCGCATTTTTATGGGATGGCTGATGACAAGATTGAAGAACAGAGATATGCCAAGTTAGGTGCTTTCTTCGTCGCACAGTATTCTTAAGGGTCGCGTAAACCAACGTGGGAGAAACAAAAGAGAGAATGCAACATAGTGAAAGAAAGAGAAGACGCTTTGATCATGTAATTTCTTTATTCCAAGTAGAAAATTAAACAACATCTTATTCTCTATTGCCCTCTTTTACCAATGTTGTACGTAAAAAGATATCATTCTACTGCCAAGAAAAACTATTTATTTTTTCTCTGTTTATTTTTCTTCTTTTAAGCAACAGTGGATATTATCTCTCTCTCTTTTATTAAGAAAGAATATTTTCTTGTGTGCGTGTGATATAATAAATTTAAAATATATTTTCAAAAATTTCATAAAAGCTTATTATCATATGTAAAAGGAAAAAATTTATTCTCTTTGCAAGAATATTATAAAACTTCGTTCAAGAAAAAATTTACAACTCTGTGTGGATGTGCAAACCAAATTTTCATTTTAATTTAATACTCTTAATTGAAATGTCAAATTTAATATGATTTAGAATGTATTTTGAACAAATTTAATTCGTATGATGAACTTACGATTCAGATAGCACGATCTATTGAAAGGTGTTTTCAAGACATCCATATTAGACATCTTTTAGTAATTTATGCTGTCTGAGAAATAGATTTGTAAATACATATATAGACTTATGAAATATTTTAGACAAGTAAGATTTACTTAAAGTATGCATTTTTCTAATCTCTCCTACAGTAATGCGCAGTCTATTCCATACGTCTACGTTTGTGGATTCATAGGCAAAGCAAACGATATAAAACGCGCGATCGGCGAACAGTTTCGTCTCTTTTGTTTTGTTTGTTTTTCTCAGGGAAACACAATTGCCTGCAGTTATGCAAGAATAACCCAACTCATATGGAATACTTTTCTCGAGAAAAGCAAATATGAAAATTTGACATATGATTCGAAAAGTACAGATAACACTGAGATTCTTGGCAATTGTTTAACAAAACAAGTATGATCAATTTTCTTCTTTTAAAAGAAAACTTTCTTTTCTTAAAGGAGGATATGTTTAAGGACATTTATTAGCAAATTTAACCCTTAAAAACAAATGAGTGAAAAAGACGCAACTAACAAAAATGGCGCAACTAGTAGAAAATAAAAACTACTTTTTAATTTGGTTTTTTAATTTCAGGTTTTTGAAATTTTTTTATTTTATGTAGAAAGATGTATGGTCTACTTATTGATAACAGAAGCTAAAAGATCATAATTTTGTGAGTTGGATCTTGCAGAATTATCAGGTCAATTATCAGGACGGTTATAATTTTAGAATAGATAGCGAAAACGGAGCAACGTAGACGCGTTAATTCGGCATCGAGGACAGAAATTGACGAGTCGAAAGATTGGTCGAAAGACATAGAGAAAATTCTTCCTATCGCTACTCATTAGTCGAAGCTACCATCTCGCTCGCGCGATCGTAGTCTCTCAAAAGAGTATCTTACATTCGACGCATACGTTACGAGAGAAATTTTACTTGTATAACAGGTAATCATAAAAATTCTAATCCGGCCTTTTAAGTCCCGTCGCGTGCTCTATAAACGTCGCGGAAACGATATCATATTAATAAGGATTGGTTGCTACACGTACATGCGTGTAAACTCTGACAGTACTCGTAGAGAGAGATGCTATCGTACATTATCGCTGATAGAAAAGTGTATCTGCGCGAACCGTGTGGTCGCAAATCGAGTTCTCATTGACGAAATCGCGGAGACTCGAAACTAACGCCGCGATCCTCGTGAACGTTACGCTCTAACTGAAATCAATTCGCGGGATTATCGCTCACACCGACACTCGTGCAAAAGGAACGATGGAGATGCGGCAAAGGATCATGGAAAATGCATTGTCGAATGAAAAATAAAAATGTAATAAACGTCATGGCTGAAGAAAAAGAACGTTCGTCTATTGATCCGAACGAGACGCGATTTATCGTCGCGCGAGGAAAAAGCTCTCTCGAACGAATACGATTTGCACGAAATTTCTGTGAATTCCTGGTCCTAAGCGTTATCGAAGTTCGACATTGTAGTGTCGCTCGGGACTTGTGTTGTCGAATGTGTCGGTTATTTTTCAACGTAAGCCGGATTTTATCTGTCCGACATATAAACGTTGACGCCCGAACGTTACCCTCATCGCGAGAGCTGTATTTCATTTTATGGATATATCAAGCGCGGACTTTCGTGAAATATCATTTGTCTCGGGAGTGATCTCAATTCGCAATCAGATCTGCCTTCAATATTTTTCACCCGCGTTATAACAGCTGTCACCTGAAATGTGAGATACGCAAGTTTTTATTCAAAGTTATAGATCCAGGCCTTTCAGTAGAATTTTGATTATGATGATTTTGATTATGATGAATTTTGATTATGATTGTTATGACTATTAAGGCTATTAAAACACGGGCTTTAATATTCGACACTGAATTGAAATCATTTTTGCGAAAAGGATATGATGTAAAGTCGATTTCACAAATAGTGCGACTAATTTTCAATTGCAGCGCGACAATGACCCGTCCGTGTGAAAGTAATGGGCGTTCCTCGTGAAGAAATCATGAAGCGCAGGACAACGCATGATTATGCGAATGATGTGCATAAACTGCTCGAAAGAGCAAGATTCATACGCCCGGGTTGCGCTAGCAACGATACCTGCCACGCTCGCGAAAAGGCTCGCCGTACGAATGTATTGGAAAAAGTTCCCGAACCGCCATGATCGCGGCGGAAAATGTCCGATAAAAGTTTTAAGCAATTAGTCACAAAGCGAAATGGGAAATTGCACGGAGAGAGAGAGCAGCGGGATGGAACGCGAATAAAAATACTTCGGCCACTTCCTCGTAGTAGCATGAACTGTTCTTGCATGTACAGCACGCACACATACACGCACACACACACACATGCACGCACGCACACTTTTATAATTGATCGCCAATGTGCTTCGTTCCTCTTTTGCTTCGTTCCAATCTGCTTCCCGTTCACTCCTGCATCGTACAATTTCGGCGTCGACGAGCGTTTTCTATATTGACAGTTTATCTTACAATTGACAACAACAATTTGGCCCTTATCCAGACTAACCCTCTCGACGTGTAACTACAAACGATTGTTAGTAACGAACGTTCTTATGTACAACTTTCTACATTGTGCACGCGCGTGAAAGCGTACACGAGGCCGTCGTACGTGGTCGGCAGAAGAAATCGGCGCGGACTGACAGGATCTCCATCGTCGAGAGCTCATCCCTCCTCGTCCTGGAAGACATGTAAAAAAGCACGAAAAAGTATCTATCCCCTGCCACGTCGCGTTCGTTATCAGCAATACGATGATTCTCGTGAGTCCATCTCGCGTGGCGTGGCTTCACGTGTCCCTGCTTCGTGTGAAGCTCGTATTCGCGCGCATTGACGACGCGAATCGATACTCACTCACGTGTCGATTCGGGCCACGTATATACGTGCATATTCGAGGAAGTGAATAGACGTCGGGGGAGACGTCGTGCGCGCGCGCCGATCCCTTTGCCGACGTGACGGCCTCGCGGCTTGTTGGCCGTCTACCGGCACACTGTTCGTCTCACGTGTCACTTCTAAATCGTTCTTTCGTTGTTGGCATTTCGGTGTGTGCGACCTACCGTCGGATTGAATTTCGCAATAAAACTGAGCGGGCTCTCGTCAAAGATCGT